ACCTTGTAACTTTCAAAAAATGCTATAAAACCTGTACATGGGGGGTACTGTTTTACTCGGGAGACATCGCTGAACACAAATATTAGTGTTTAAAAACTGGAAAACGTATCACAACAATTATATCATCAGTAAAAGTGCTGTTTGTGTGTGAAAAATGCAAAAAAAGTCACTTTCACTGGCAATATCATCGCTGTGATATGTTTTACTGTTTTGAATCACTAATATTTGTGTTCAGCGAAGTCTCCCGAGTAAAACAGTACCCCCCATGTACAGGTTTTAGGGTGTCGTAGAACGTTACAGGGTAAAATACAGTGCTAGCAAATTAAATTCTCTGGAATTTCGGCCTGGGTTGGCAGGCAGGTCCTCAAATTGCAATCAATAAAATTACTGAATTATGTAAAAATATTACATAAATACGCACGTAGAATTTAAATATATATGCATATTTATATATTTGAAGTCTACGTGTATATTTATATAATTATTTATGTAATTTTGTATATGGACATATGTATATTTCTTATTATTTTATTTATTTTTATATACATAGATATATATACAAATTCATTCTAAGTGTATTTTGATATAAATATATATATATTAATTTTAAAATACAGTTAGAATAAAATTTCCTCTCAAAAAGCTATATAATTTTTTTTTTAATTTTGTATTATTTAAAAAAAAATTATTTAAATTTAAATTACTTATTATTTATATTTTATAATAGTATATATATATACAATATATATAGTTATTATATATATTATATATATATCATTCAATTGTAATTTAATTATAAGTGTATTTTTATATTAATATAAGTACATATTAATATAAAAATACACTTAGTATGACATTATATATATATATGATATATAGACATATATTATATAGATATAATATATGTCTATATATCATATATACACATATAATTATAAAAAAATTTTTTATTAACATTAACTTTATTTTTTTTTTCTGATTTTACACTAGCGGGGAGACTGCCTGTCAGCACAGGCAGTCCCCCTGCAGGCAGACACATGGACACCTATTGTGACCATGTGATCGCTGTGTTAAGCGATCACATGGCCACAGGGGTCCTAATCTGCCGTGGGGAGACTGTCTGGGCTGCGGGCAGTCTCCCCACAACCGGAGCCACGCTGATCGCCGCCGGGGGAACGACGGCGATCAGGTAAGTAGCTCTGACAGTTAGGACGGTTCAGGACCGTCATCGGTCGGCAACGCAAAAATGCCGATGACGGTCCTGAACCGTCCTCGGTCCTTAAGGGGTTAAATCTTCTTCCCATTTTAGAATGGAATTTGACTTGTTTTAGTTTCAAAAGTAAATTTATTAATAATCTGTCTGATTTTAGAAGTTCTTAAAGGTTGCGATCCATGCAGGATAGTATCTAGGGGAGAATGTCTGATTGATTATTTGTAGTGTTCTGAGAAAATTAGTGATTTTTAAGTATGGAAATCTCTCTTTATTGGACAAGTCATATTTTGAATGAAGATTATGAAAAGTATTTGGAGAAACATTAAATCCTAACTGGCCAACTTTTACAACATTTTTCCTTAACCAATTAGTTAAATCCAGATCTCTTATTTATTTATTTATAAAATATTTTACCAGGAAAGATACATTGAGATTTCTCTCGTTTTCAAGTATGTCCTGGGTCCACAAATCATTGCATTGTTACAATTAGGGTACAATAAAATACAAAAACAATATTGATACACAATAAATACAATATTTAACATAGAACAGGCAGGAAATATATAATCAATCATGTATAATTTGATTATTTCCAAGGGGGCTTTACACAAAATTAGATTTTGAACAAGAAATAGTTTTTTTATTGGATCAATACTCATTAAGTTTTTATGGTAATTCTTTAGCAGCAGTCTCATAAAGTACTGCATCAGACAAACCTTCGGAAAAGGCAGTGATTAAACCGCTGTTAGTCTAGTCAACCTCTGAAGCAAGGGTACGGAATTCAATGGCGTACTCTGCAACAGACCTATTGCCTTGTCTTATACTCATTAATGCTGTGGCAGCAGTTTTCTCTTTACCCAATGGCTCAAATGTCAGTTTAAACTCAGCAAGGAATTATTTATAGTTATAAGCTATAGATTTATTCCTCTCCAGTAGAGGATTGGCCCATGTTAGGCTCTACCTCACATACCTGTCCCTTGCTCTCCTCCAACTAGGCTTCATTCCACCTTGTTTGATTGCTACCTGTCCTGTTGGGTTTTAAACCTATTAAACCTATTCTTTCTGTAAGTTTTTGTAATTGTCTCATTTATTGTTAAATATCCCCCTTTGAAAATATTGTAAAGCGCTACAGAATATGCTGGCACTATATAAATACCAGTAATAATATTACCATCGGAGTTCTCTCTCTCCCTATATATACCCTTACTTGGACAAAGACTCCTGGATCTCACCATTGTATCCATGGACAGAGAATATACCATCTACGCCTACAGAAAAAGAGCTATATTAGCTCTAGAAAGTGAGTGTTCCATTGGCATTGCTAATATTATCTGTAAATGTTATCCAACTGTATTGCACTATTTTGTTTTCTGTTATTTTTCTTTAGACATATTGTACAGAATTTTCTTCTATCAACTGTATGTAATTATGTACTTTCTTCATTACTTTTTGGATAACTTCAGCGTAGTCCACCACCAGCACTGTTTTTCTCTGTTTGCTTTTCATTAGGTTGTGGGGATTCCTTGTAGGTGGATTGTTGCTCATTTACAGATAGAGACCACCAAACACATATCTTTCTCTCTTTATACAAAGTATATATCTAGATAGCTCATAGCAGGGCTGTATTTGCATGTCAGACGCCTCTAGGTACACAATTCTAAGGCACCCCTTTCTCTCCAACCCCAAAATACGGCAGATAAAGTATAGTTAATTTTTTAACTTGACATTGCAGGTCTAGAACCATCTATGAAACATATTCATGTTTGACAAATGCATTCATATAGGTCCCTACTCTGCCCGATGGGAAATGCACCCCTGACTGTGAGGTTATAATGGGGAGTTGGCACAAAAAGGGAAATTTGGAGGTGATGGCCAGAGACAATTAAAGGATAATTGCAGTCAATTGCAACATGTAAAGGGAAAGAGAAGGTAACTTAGTGAGATCTCAAACAGCTGGAAAAGCATGCTGTAAAATAACAGGGAACCGGGATGTACCTGTAGATGGGTAGTGAAAATGACATCTCTGCTTTTTTCTGTGAACTGGTAGATTGAAGGGCTCTGAAAGTGGAAATTAAGTTTATCTGTTTTTTTCTGTGTATCTTGGACAATTACCTTTTTTTCTGTAATTGCAGTTTTAGGCAAACAGTACTGAAAACATGCATGATTTAGTATATTTTTGTAGTACCGTATATACTCGAGTATAAGTCGAGTTTTTCAGCACATTATTTGTGCTGAAAAACCCCCACTCGACTTATACTCGAGTCAATGTCTGTATTATGGCAACTTACATTGCCATAATACAGACCAGGACCACCGGGCTCATTACAAGCCCGGCGGTCCTGTTGGGGGCTGGCAGAGAGCTGTAACTTACCTTTCCTGCAGCTCCTGTCAGTTCCCTTCACCTCCAGTCCTGTCAGCTCCCTTCTCCTCCGGTCCTGTCAGCTCCCTTCTCCTCCACTGTAAGTCTCGCGAGAGCCGCGGGGTCAGAGAGTTGCCGTGGCAACACTCCGCGCGGCACTCAGACCGCGAGACTTACAGTGGAGCTGACAGGGGAGCTGACAGGACCGGAGGAGAAGGGAGCTGACAGGAGCTGCAGGAAAGGTAAGTTACAGCTCTCTGCCAGCCCCCCTCCTACACAGCCCATACCACTGAACCACCAGGGAATGAGAGCCCCCCTCCCTGGCCAGCTAACAAGCAGGGAGGGCGGACGAAAATAAATAAATACAAATTTAAATAATAATAAAATAAAAATATTAATAATATAAAAAAATAATAATAATAATAATAATTACAAATAATAATAAAAATGCTCACCCCCCACCAAGGCTCTGCATCACATAGACACACTGCATTCATACACACACACTGCATTCATACACACACACACACACTGCATTCATACACACACTGCATTCATACACACACACTGCTTTCATACACACACTGCATTCACATACACTGCATTCATACACACACACTGCATTCATACACACACTGCATTCATACACACACTGCATTCATACACACAGTGGTGTATCCTGGTTTTGTGCTGCCCTAGGCAGGACAAAACTCAGGCGTCCCCCTCCCCCCACGCCACCCCCACCCAACCCTTCCCCCCGCGCCACCCCCACCCAACCCTTCCCCCCGCCCCACCTTCTAAATACACACACACACAGTCAGAAACAAACACACACACAGTCAGACACAGACCAGAAACACAGTCAGACACGAAACACACACAAACACACACACGCTGTCAGACACAAACACACACACACAGTCAGAAACAAACACACAGTCAGACACAAACACACACACACATACACAGTCACACACACACAGTCAGACACAAACACACACACAGTCAGACACAAACACACACATAGTCAGACACAAACACACAGACACACACACACACAGTCAGACACAACCACACAAACACACACAGTCAGACACACACACAGTCAGACACAAACACACACACAGTCAGACACAAACACACACACACACACACAGTCAGACACACACACAGTCAGACACAAACACACACACACAGTCAGACACAAACACACACACACTAACTTTTTTTTAAAATTTAAATCCCCCCCAACCTCCTTACCTTTGGGAGTGCTGTGGGGGGGGGGGGTTCTCTCTGCCTGGTGGTCCAGTGGCTGCCAGTCGGGCTGGGCGGCTCTGGCTGCTGTGCGGGCGGCTGACGAGGGAGCAGTTTCTCTGAGCTGACTGCTCAGCTCCCTCGCGCGCCGCAGAGTGAGGCTGGGAGCCGAGGGAGCTGAGCAGTCAGCTCAGAGGAAGTGCTCCCTCGCCAGCCGCCCGCACAGCAGCCAGAGCCGCCCGCCCCCTCGGGATGTCAGTTAGCCGCAAGGCTAATTAGGCATTTGCCCTGGGCATTTGGGGAGCGGCGTTTTTTGCTGCCCCCTGAAAAATGCTGCCCAAGGCAAATGCCTTGTTTGCCTCGCAGCTAATACGCCCCTGCATACACACACACACTGCATTCATACAAACACACACTGCATTCATTATATACACACACTGTAAATAAATATTCAATTAATATAATTTTTGGGGGATCTAATTTTATTTAGAAATTTACCAGTAGCTGCTGCATTTTCCACCCTAGTCTTATACTCGAGTCAATAAGTTTTCCCAGTTTTTTGGGGTAAAAGTAGGAGTCTCGACTTATATTCGGGTCAACTTATACTCAAGTATATACGGTAAATGGTTTTTGTAACCTTTCAACAAACTGTACACACTGTAAATATGTAAACTGACTGGTACAATTCTTACCACTTCTGAGTAAGGTTGCAAGACATATAAAGGGTGATTTGTATGGTAGGCATTATTTGTACAAATAAAATGAAGCCATACAAGAAACACAGACAATGTTTATTTACTTTTCAATACTTTTCAATGGGCTTAGCCGTGGTGTTTATTTAAAGCCTAAGGAGCTTACAATCATCATTTTATAACCATAACCAAAACATTTAACTTTATTAAGGTTAGACTTAAATAACCTGACCGCCTTTTATTTAAAACCATTTACCACCATGTCCTTCCTCAGAACTTGATCCTGAGAACGACTTTTCCCTAATGTTTCAAAACACCATGAAAATATAATGAAATAAAATTAAAGGAAGAGAGAGCTGGGTCGGTCAGCACTGCTCCTGCTTCAGTATACTCTGAAAGGATTGCTCTCGCACTGCTGCTTTTTCTACTGTCCCAGTTTCCCGCTCTTTTTATGCTTGTGACCTCCAACCAATCCCAGGCCAACTTCAGTCCCCAGCAACAGTAGTGTCATCAATTCTGTCCAGATACCTGTCTGACTGCCTGCCACAAATGTAAACTTCCCTACATTCCAATCCCAAACAAGGCAGATGAATTCCTTCATTTCCACCACACATATATGCCACAGTGCTTAGTGCCTGTGGCTTCTAGGAAAGACAGCGATCAAGTTACAAGATGAAAAGTAAACAGAAATTGAGAGAAGAATAATTGTCATTAGCCAAATGTGATTCGTAGAATAAGTCTCACTGCCAGTCTGCTGCATAATCCCTTCAGGTAAGGTGAGATTTATGACAGACAGACAGCCCGACAAAGGAGTACTTGGTGGTAGACAGATGTACACAAAGAGAATTATGAGACTTTACAGCTTTGTAAGTTTTGTGGTTTGTACCAAAGCATCATATACAGTTACAGTACAATATTCTGTTATTTCTTTATTTTCTTTTAAATACTTTTTAATAATATTAAACATAGTTTAGAAGGATATAATATATAATATTTATTTATTTTATACTAGCTATTTTGTCCCCGAGCATTACGTTGATTTGTTATAGCAGATGGAATTCCAACCAAACCAAAGACCAGAATTTGTGTCAGGAGTCCAAGACACTGCCTATTTGGGATGTATTTGATATTTCTTTCTATTTGTGTTAACTATTTTGGGGCCTTAGATGCTTATTAATACAATTTTATTGTTTAGAAAATGCTTAACCATTTCAATGTACAACAATTTATTTTTGGAAGAAACACTATATTCTGGCAAAACAAAAAGTAAAACCAGAGACTGGTAAATCCCATTATCACTTGGGTGCATTATCTCGTTGCCGACACTGTCCATAATCACTGTCCATATTGCAGACTGTGTAAACTGACACTGAGCTCCATACTCACATTATCTGCCCCTTAATTCTATATTAATCTACGGTTCTCAAAAGTATAATCAAAGTGGTCACCAGGGAATGGATATTGAGGTGGCTTGTTATACGCTCCTCCCAAAAATATCCAAAGAGTCCCAATGGTCATTACTGGCGTCACAACGAAAAGGCACAAGCGGTCCACTGTCCGAGCAATGCGATACCAGTTATCTTTCTCCTAAAAAACAGGGATCAAATAGATAGATATGAGAAAAAAAGTTTAATATGGAAGAAAACTCAGATGCTAAAATTACAATATGATGAATTATGAAAGTTCTTCTAACAATCATAGTAATCAGCAGCAAATTTATGAATAGCAACCTAAAAAACAAAAGGTCTGTTGGATGTGGCTTGATTAAAATAATACATGCATTTCTGTAAGTTTGTCATCAGGAAACCCAGAACATGCATTTCTGTAAATTTGTCATCAGTAAACCCAGAACCATCTGCAGGAGAAAGAAAATAACGACAATTCCAAATGAAGTGACCCAAATTATTTTTTTATATAACCATTTTGAATAACAAGGAGATTGCAAAATAAGATCCTAGAATAGGTAATCATTACATATTTTGAAAACCATTTTAAATGCTCCTTAAAGGAACATGATAAGATTAAAGAAATACATTTCTTTTAAAAGGAATACTAAATGCTTTAGTGTAACTGTACCTTGTTAGATATATGTTCCTCCATGTGTGTGTGATAAAAATGAATCAATACATTTGTTTACTTACCTTTTTCTATTGCCGAGACTCTCCACCTCCCACGACATCTTGGCGGAGTCATGATACCTTCACAGTTGGTCTAATCAAATGTTCCTTATATAGGAGCACTGGGGACCTGATGAGCATGCACGGTGAGCTCCTCGGGCAGATCCAAGTTTCCCAATAGGAAAGCATTAAATCACTGCTTTCCTGCGTGGGCTACCAAGTTTTACTCGGTCAGTGCTGTGGAAGCACCTCTAATGGCTGTAAGTATGGCACCGCGTGAAGTGGAATTTAATCCTGCAGTGTAAACAATGCAGTTTCCTCATAGGATGAAGTGGCCTGGATGACTTTAGTGGTCTTTCTGTGTTAGAGAATTCCTTGGTGTGTTTGTACTACTGCCACCCCCATATTCTTAAAAATATAAAAAAAATAAAATCACTATGAGTATTACATTTAACTTATCTAGGTTATCATTTATGATTACTTTTGTCCAATCCAATGCTTCTTCTAGAGAAGTATTGGAGACATCGGTAGCATACATACATGAGTAAATCAAATGTTTGCAACACTCTGTCAACATTTAAACCTTATATTGTCAAAGTGAGTAATGTAACAAGGTGGTGGAGGGCCCCATGTGCACTATTTTGGGGTCTCTAACCACTGCTGAATTATCGTAAACTACACTCTTATTAAGAATGCTGGATTTGTATTGTTGTGTTCAATTCATATCCCTTTACCCACTGCCTGTAATAATATGTAAGTGCTATTAAGGTATAAATCGGACAGCTGAACTTCCCAAACTACATCTAACAGACTTTCAAGGAAAAATTGTGTTTGTGGTGAAAAACTATAGACTCCAGGTCTTCTGTGACTCAGAGGTTTCGCTGCAACAGTTCCTTTTGCAGATTCTCCAATCAAAACAGTTGATTTCATATTCTTATCTGTGATATACAACGCTTTTCACTATTAATTGCTGATGAACATCACCAGTCAGGAGATACATGTATTATGATACATTAAGGGACCACTATAGGCACCCAGACCACTTCAGCTTAATGAAGTGGTCAGGGTGCCAGGTGCAGCTAGGGTTAACCCTTTTTTTTAATAAACATAGCAGTTTCAAAGAAACTGCTATGTTTATGTTAGGGTTAATCCAGCCTCCAGTGGGAGCCGCTAGAGGCGCTTGTGTGCTTCTCACTTTGAATTCACAGTGAAAAGACGCCAGCGTCCATAGGAAAGCATTGTGAATGCTTTCCTATGGAGTGGCTGAACGCGCACGCAGCTCCTGCCGCGCATGCGCATTCAGCCGAAGAGGAGGAGAAGAGGGAGGAGAGGAGGAGGAGAGCTCTCCGCCCGGCGCTGGAGAAAGAGGTAAGTTTAACCCCTTCCTCTCCCCAGAGCCCGGCGGGAGGGGGTCCCTGAGGGTGGGGGCACCCTCAGGGCACTATAGTGCCAGGAAAATGAGTTTGTTTTCCTGGCACTATAGTGGTCCTTTAATATAAAATATGAAGGAGTTAGCATCAACTACATCATTCAGGAAAAAAAAAAAACATTCATTACTGTCAGGTTTATTCACGAAAGTGAGAATTGTCAGAAGCACAAAGTGAATTTCAAATTTAATGCCAAAAATCGCTAAATTAGAAAAAATCTCCAAATCTGCTATGCTCCTACTTTCTAACTCCCTTTGAATTAATTTCTCACTTAGTTAATAGCCTGATTCCACATTACTACAGTAGAATATACACTGAAATCACCTGCTTAATATCGAGTAAGTCCCCCTTGTACTGCTAAAACAGCTCTGATTCATCGAGATATGGATGCCAAAAGACTTCTAAATGTGTCCTGTGATATCTGGCACCAAGACATTAACAGCAGATACTTTAACAACTGCAACTTGCGAGGTGAGGACCGGATTTGTTGTTCCAGCACATCCCACATATGCTCAATCAAATTGAGATCTAGGAAATTTGGAAGCCAAAGGCAACACACTTAACTCTTTGTCATGTTCCTCAAATCATTCCTGAACAATTGCTGAACTGCTGCTATCTCTTACCCCAGGTGAACAATGCACACGCACCCGACCACCCACCTGATCTTAAAAAAACTTGACTCATCAGACCAGGCAACCTTCTTTCATTGTAAAAAGATAAAGGAGGTTAGCACTAATAATAAGAAAGTGGATGGGCAGCGGCCCAGCAGAGGGTAACCCTCTGACCCTCTATAATAGGAATGGAGAACAACAACAATAGTAATGCAAGGCTGCGCCAAAATAAATCACTGTGGACTATAAACAGTAAAAATCATATAAATGAGACAAGATAGTTGGTGTTATATATAAAATATATAAAATAGTCCAAAGAGGTTGCACTATGGCAATAAATGTTTTTTAAGATGCTTTTGATGAAGGGGTCTCCTCTCTGTTTAAAGTAGTCCAATTTCTCTCGTTATATGAAAGACATAAAATAAGAGACCAATCGTATAAAGTATAGGGGTCAATATATGTGAGAAAAAGATATATATATTCCACTCACATTTAAATGAGCTATGGCCAGCTCAGGTAAAACGGGCATACAGAGGTATGATCTCTGCTTGTGGAATATATGGATGATTGTCCTCTGGAGGGAAGGATGTCCAGCTCTCAGGAAAGGGATATATAAAAACAGCTAATAGTGCTCACTGTTGAACAAGGTATAAACGTTTTGTTAAAAGAATAAAAATGTACTTTCAAGTGTAGTGCAGGCCGACTGCACTATGGTAACAGTGTTGGTGGTATAATCCCCACCTAGGATAAGCTTGTAAGTACGTCATAAAATTGATAAGATGCCAGGTAGAAGTAAAAAATATATAGAAAGATAGTTGGCACAGATAGTAACCAAAAAATCTTTAATTATATAAAATACACAATTAAAAAAACCTTCTTTCATTGTCCCACGGTCCAGTTCAGCCGCTCACTTCCCCATTGAAGGTGCTTTAGGTAGTAAACAGGGGTCATTATGGGCACTTTCACCAGTGTGCAGCTACAGAGCTCCAAATGCAGCAAGCTGCGATCCACTGAGTGTTCTGACACCTTTCCATCATGGAGTGCATTGAGTTATTCAGCATTATGAGCTACAGTAGCTCTTCTGTGGATCAGACTAGATCGGCTAATCTTTGCTGCCCACGTGCATCAATGAGACTTGTGCCCATGAGCCAGTTCACCGGTTGTCCTTCTTCGCTTTTGGTAGGTACTAACCACTGCATCTTGGAAACACCCCACAAGACTTGTTTTGGAGATGATCTGACCCAGTAATCTAGCCATCACTATTTGGCTCTTGTTAAAGTCACCCAGATCTTTTCACTTGCCCATTTTTCCTGCTTTCAACACAAGAAATTCAAGAACTGACTGTTCACTTTCTGCCTGATATATATCTTATCCCTTCACACTTCACAGGTGTCATTGTAATGATATAATCAATGCTATTCACTTCATCTGTCAGTGGTAATAATGGTGTGACTGATCAGTGTATAGTGATAGATAAAACAAAGTGTTTTTGACAGGGATGGACTGACCACTTGGGCAGATCGGTCAGGGACAGAGGGCCCAAGCAGTCAGGGGCCAGCCAGGCTTCACAACCATGATCTTCTCTGTTTTAGCACTTTATGCATTATTCCAATTCCCTAAGCATAGTGTGACTATGTCTAATGAGGCACTCACGCTGTGCTTTCAGAGGGCAGCTTCTTAGTATCCCCAAAAATTGGGACATAAAGGAGCAAAGTGGATCCTAAAATAGGGACTGCTCTGTCAAAATCAGGACAGTTGGGAGACTTGCATTCAGGAGACAGTATCAGTTAAACCTTTGAGGATCCATTGCCTATCAAGATTCTCATGGCAGCTAGGGATTTGCAGAACCCCTGGTCCTGAAGGTCTCTTGAACTGACGGAACTGCTTTTTCTAGATTTGGCTAAAATCCATATTTAATGGGAGTCTCTCTAGTCAGACATACACCTGTGCAACATACACACAGAAGCATCCAGTGTGGAATGTTTAACATTCTCTGTGGTTACAGGAATGCGGCACAGACTTCCAGCATGCTATCTATAAATAGACAGCAACATGCATGTGTTTGATGTGTCTACTGCATTCTTGTAGTTAACACTGACAGGTTAACAGAAGAGATTACATTTCTTTTGAGTGACTATAAAAAAATGAAATTTTTTTTATATTTTGGTGTTTTTTTATGACTGAAATGTGTTTTATTTAATTAAGAAACAAAGGAAAGAAAGTTTATATTGTAGTGTATTAAAATAATACTTATTATTTATTATTTTAGGTTTAATATATAATAATGTATATATTAGCCCAAGGCACAACATATACCATACTATTGTAATATTATATTAGTTCACCTCTACTTTAGCGGTATTCTAATGTAATATCACAATAGTACAGTATAAGTTTCACAATTATACTGTTTTTGTATGTATATGTTTTTGGATATTTAGTACTTATTATATAGTTGTTTGTATCTACTTTAGTTATTTATCTGCTATTGTTCGTTCAACTCTAGTTGTTCCTTTAGTATATCCAGAATCCAGATCACATTTTTTTCATTCAAGGCATAACTCTTCATTCACTGTTACATGTAATGTTCACTATCCCTTTTCGGTCTCTATGCGTTCAGCATAGTGATTAGGTGCTTCATACAAATAATACATTAATTCCCTTGTCCTGAATATATTCACTTGGTATAGAAATCTTATTTATAACACCAATTTTGTTTAGCACTCATTGGTTTTTAATTTCCTAGGAACAACATTTCACATTAGCTAGACACCATGTGGTCATGTTTAACATTCACTTCATGGACTGGTCTCCGATTAATTACACACGTGGGTCACAGGTAAGAGATTTTTTCACCTATAAATATAACACACTTCTATTGTTTGTTTGATCTTGATAAAGGCCTGAACTGACCAAAACATGAATCGCTCTGTGATGTGAATCACCAAATAAATCCACGAAAATAAAAGACTTGTGAGTGCTACTTGATTGTTTCAAATACATATATTTAGATTTGTCTTTTTAGTGATAAATGCATCTGCACATCTATTATGCAGCCCATTCACATGTGGGACGATTGTTACATTTTAACTCCTTAAGGACTGAGCTAAATGTACACGTTTTGATCAAAATAACACGTAAACAAAACTTGGAATTTGCGCTATATGTCTGTTCAACCGCAATTCACCTCTTTCATATTACGTGCACCAACACTTATTTTATATCATTTTATTAAGGAGAAACAGGGCTTTCATTTAACATCAAATATTTAGCTATAAAACATAATTTAATATGAATAAAATTTTAAAAAATTGAGAAATTAAGAAATTTTGTTATTTTTTTTTTAGTTCTGCATGACATTTTAACTGTGAATGTCATAATACTGTTCACTTTTACTGCAATAAAATACACATATTTGTCTCACGTGTAAAACAGTACCCCCTATGTCCAGGTTTTATGGTGGTTTGGGAAGTTACAGGGTCAAATTTAGCATGTTACATTTTCATTTTTTTCACATTTAAATTCGACAGATTAGTTACCTTGTCTTTGAGAGCGTATGGTAGCCCAGGAATGAGAATTACCCCCATGATGGCATACCATTTGCAATAGTAGACAACCCACTGTATTGCAAATGTCCAGTATTTTTTAGTATCCACTCAGTCATAAAACACTGGCCAAATGTAGCGTTAATATTTGTTTGTGTGTGAAAACTGCAAAAAAACTAATTTGAATGCCAATTTTGGCCAGTGGCTACTAAAAAAGACTGGACATACCCCATTTGCAATACCTTGGGTTGTCTACTTTTGCAAATGGTATGTCACCATGGGGGTAATTCTCATTGCTGGGCTACCATACAGTCTCAAAGGCAACATAACCAACCTGGCGAATTTCAATGTGAAAAAACTGAAACACAAGCCTTATATTTGACTCTGTAACTTTTGAAAACACCATAAAACCTGTACATGAGGGGTACTGTTATACCTAGGAGACTTTGCTGAACACAAATATTAGTGTTTCAAATCAGTAAAATGTATCACAACAATTATATAGTCAGTGTAACTGCATTTTTACTGATGATATCATTCTTGTAATACATTTTACTGTTTTGAAACACTAATATTTGTGTTCTGCGAAGTCTCCTGAGTAAAACAGTACCCCCATGTACAGGTTTTAGGGTGTCTTTGAATGTTACAGAGTTAAATATAGTGCTAGCAAAATAAATTCTCTGGGCTTTCTATCTAGGTTATCAGGCAGGTCGCGCAAATTGTAATTAATAAAATGACTTAATTATGTAAAAATATTACATTAATATATATGTAGAATTAAAATATATATATATATATATATATATTTGTTTTTTCATTTATATATAAGTATATATATATATATAGTGATATATACATATATATTTATGTATATAGATATATATTTTATTTCGTTCTAAGTGTATTTTGATATTAATATATATATATATATTTATTCTTTATTTTTTATATTTTTTTATTTTTCATTTTTAATGTATTTATATATTTATTTTATATTATATATACATATATATAATTAGAATAATAAATATATATATATAATATAATTCTACGTGTATTTGGATATTAATATATATATATATATATATATATATATATGTATGTATGTATATACACTGTGTTTTTCTGAAAAAAGGCAATGTTTACATTACAGCCTAGGGATACCTTCAGTGGCCACTCCTCAGAAGGCTGATAGCGTTGTTTCCTGGTAGTGTCGGATCCAGAGCCTGATTTTGGGAGGGCAAAAGAAATAATCCAGGCACAATAACCACTACAGCTCAGTGTAGTAGTTATGGCGCCAGTAGTGCCAGGATTCCATACCAGAGTAAGTAGTCAAACCGTTTAAGAACAGTTTGACAACTTGCCTGGGGTCTGCTGGGATATAGGGCATAGGAGCAGTGGTATGTGTTAGAGGTGAAGTGAGTGTGAAAGGTGCAGTGTGTGTGTGTGAGCGGTGAAGTGAGTGTGCGAGTGCGTGAGGGCGGCAGTGTAGGTCAGGGTTGCAGTGTGTGTGTTAGGGGGCAGTGTATGTGTGGGGCAGTGTGTGTGTGAGAGAGCTGCAGTGTGTGTGTGTGTTTGTGTGTGTGTGTGTGTGTGTGTGTGTGTGTGTGTGTGTGTGTGTGTGTGGAGTGTGAGGAGGGTAGGGAGGCTTTTTTAAATTTAATTTAATTTAATTTAAATAAATATATTGATGTCCCCTCTCCCTTCTTACCTTTACTGGGAACATTTCTGGATCCATGGTGGTCTATAGGGAATCCCTGGTGGCTCAGTGGGGAGAGTGAACTCTAGCCCGCGCTCCAGGGCTCTAGTGGTAACCGCGGCAATGCTCCATGCTCGCGAGAGGAGGACCTGGAGGAGCTGCAGGTAAGAGCTTCCGGGTCCTCTCTCACTCCCTCACCTGCCGGCTGTCAGCACGGTGCCTGCAGACCGGGGAGGGAGATCTCTGATCTCCCCTCTGGTCCTTGAAGGCACATTGCAGGGCTGGCACTTGGACAATGCCAGCCCTGCATTAGCCGGCAGGGGAGAATTTCAGGGGGGGCAATTGCCCCGTTGCCCCCCCCCCACTGGATCCGCCACTGCTTCCTGGGGTCATTCTGCACAGTGTGCAGCACTGACATTCAGTGTCTCCACCCTCTGCATGGAGACACTGAACATTCCTCATAGAGATGCTGTGACGGTAGTCACCATCACCAATAGCTTAAGATGGACAATTCAATAAGGTATCTGAATGATTCCTATGTTTAAGTCACCCTGTGTCCATTGTGGGTGCAGGGTGTGTGTGTGTGTAATGTGGTTGTTTGCTGCTAAATGTTAGTGTGCTCTGCTGTCTTGCTAATGCTTGCAATCAACTAGGTGAATTTGGCTGTAGAGCCTGTACAACACCACCTGTTAGTTGCAAGGATCTAGCAACAGCGATATGTATTACCTGAATAGCAAGGTTTGCTAATTTGCATATTCGGGTAGATTTGCATATTGCTAATTCTGCAGGCAGGAGAGATATTTTCTGTTAATTATTGTCCTCCCCACTTTATTATTAATATGTCATTTTGTTGTAATAAGTATGTATGTAAGTATGTTGTGTGCCATGATTTCACTGTTTTAGTTTTATTGAGTTGTCACAGTAATCTTTATGTATGGAACATATGGGCTAGTCCTAAGTAAAAATGAAGTTTTGTGTAAGTTCCCTTTGGATCTTGTGTCCTGTGTGGATATTTAGGGATCCCAGTGGCAGAGTCTTCGGACCTGTTTGCTGGTTGCAGGATTCCTCCCGCCCTAGGATAAATCAAGAGAGCTAGGACTGAGAACTGCAAGTGCCTTTGTAAAGTCTATAGCTGTAATCACTGTATAATCACTCGGTCGAGTACAGGAGCTCCGTCTCCTCTATGAGGAGATGATGATTGGCCATAGCTGTGTTTGGCTGGTGCTGGCTCTGCCCCTGATCTGCCTCCTTGACAAGCTCAGCCAATCCAATGCTTTCCTATGGGAAAGCATTGTGATTGGCTCAGAATACAACTTTTGATGATGTCAGCCGAGGAGGCAGATCAGGGGCAGAGCCAGCACCAACGGACTGGAATAAAGATAAGATTTTACTATATTTAGAGGGGCAAGGGGGCTAGATAGTGTTTTAACACGATAGGATCAGGAATACATGTTTGTGTTCCTGACCCTATAGTGTCCCTTTAACTTACTTTGTCACCAGAGTTAGCAACATTGTGCATATATGAGGTATTAGATCAATGGAGTTTTGCCTTTCAAACATCTCTAAGGAGTTAGGGCGGAACGTATATTGCTCTACATCAACTAACAAGAACGAATAAGCAGTGAGAATGAGAGAACTCTGAGGATATTTGATCCACCGCTCACAAGGTACTGATCCTCCCGAGCGTGTAGGTGTAAGTGGCACTTGTCCACTCCTCACTTATGATTAGATGTCCATAAGGATATACATTTTAATATTTTTTTTTTTTGCATTAATACCAGATAGTCTGCAAAATATGTTTGTATTTGTTGTTCTTTTTTATGATATACCACAGACAATGTGAATTGACTTATAAGAGTGTAGTTTCTAAAAAAAATAAAAATATTTTTTCGCACACCATTTTTTAAAATAGTTTACCCCCCCCCCCTTCATTTGAATGCCCACTTCCCAGGTGGACCCACCCATTGTATGTGTGGCCAGTGACGCAAGTTGTGTCACTGGTCACGCACCCTTGAAGGCCTGCCCAACTGTTCCAATTACATAACGCCAATGTTGGGAAGTATGTGTTAATCACTAATCCCAGGCATTGTTGACACTGAACCCCCAGTTATCTTTTCCAGCTCTACTATTTTGGCCTAAAAGTTCTTTGTCAACACACCACAATTCCTAATTCCCACCCCCTGCTACAGTAACACAACAAACTGTTTGCTTCTACTTACCTCACTGTAATCATTTTTGTCTCTCATGTGTTTGACAATAAAGTTTGCCCCATCAACAGCTGGTTTTATTTCTCCAAAAAGCTGGTCCTGTGAATTGTCTGTTCTCATTGGATTCGCACCTGGGAAGGAAGAGAAAATGGAGATTTTGTATTGTATAACTAAATGATACATTCCGCTTCCTCTAGTTTTCCAACTATATAAAGATTTTATTATTACCCAAATAAATACTTCTTTTCTATCCTCATGACCATGAAGGGTTAAAAAAAACAACAACCGTGTGTATTACACTTTCCCTATAGGAAAGAATTGAATCTAAGCTTTCCTATGGTTAATTTGAAGATATTAGATGTCCTCAGCAAAGCGTGGTCTCAGGAGTTAAATTCTCTGAGAATCCAGGAAGCTTCTCTAGTGACTGTCTGAATATCTTCATACTTGGGATCTAGTTATAAAAAGCTCTTGCAAAAGTGGGTTGTTATTTGAGATGTGGATTTTGTCTGTATTATTGAAAATATGGACAGAAGCATATACTGAACTTTAGAGTGATATAGTTTTTCAGGGTGCCTATCATGAGGTGAAATAGCGCTCCTGTAGAAGGGGTAAAACAACGAAACAAGCCAGAAAACCAAAATATGCCAAAAAACAGGATATACCAAAACAATACATACACTATCAGATATCAAGTGAAACCACAATAGGGTTATGTTCTGTCTGTGTAGTTAGTTTATATAGCTATAATTAATTAATAGCTGGTTGGTGTCCTTATGGTGATGTTGAATTGTATGTACATGGAGTGGCAAAAATGACACTTTACATGAACTATTTACGTAAACTATTTTGCACCTTTGAGGCTACCTAATCAAAACAAAATCAAATGAGATATGTAGTAATTTTTCCAGTAAAATTATATCCTTACGTGCAGGAGTGGCTCTGCTGGTAAGTCCATGTCTCTCTGACTGCTTCTCAAACATAAGTTCACTTCGTGATTTGACACAGAAGTATTCCTCTGCTTTCACAATGTACCCCACGGAACTGCTGCGCCTCTGGAGAACACCATTCCATGGCTCAGGATCAGATTCTGCTGGCATTGACATGTGCAGGATGCGGGGCAGTTTGTTTAAGAAAACCTAAAAGGAAATTAATGTTACAAACAAAAAAAGTGCAATTAACTGCCAACAAGATATACAATACATCTGTAATGACCTGATTATTATGAGTAGACCAGAATCGGCCTTAATGGTCTGATGGTGTGCGCTTGAGGATGATCCAGCTGCTCAGTTTAACATACTTACTTGGTTTTAAACTTACTTACGGTACTATATGTTTAGAGTTGTTTGTGATCAATTTCTTAAACAATAGTGTTGAAATGAATGCTCCAAATGCCTTATGTCAGTATTTTCATTCATTTTCATTTCATTCCAGTGACAACACTTACTGCAGCCCAATCCTTCTTGCTTGGCATCACAGGAGGGAGGACAGGGAGGACCAGCAGGGGAACTACCACTGGTGCAGCCAGTACAGCAACACTAGGGCCCACAAGCTGCATGGGGCCCAAAAGATGGTCCTTAAACTTGTGACCGCCCGATGTGCAATTCTGATAATGATGCATCTGAGCCCGTCACTGCAATTTAAGAGGCAACTTCACACACAAAAAAAACCTACATTCAAACACCAACACTAGATACAAATGTATCCCTGCATTCAACCACCAACACTACACACAGATACACAGCTACATTCACTCACAACTGATATGTACAATAATGTACATATATTTAGAATTAAATGCTTTACGTAATACCATGACCACTTCAAATCAATTAGTGGTCATGGTGCTTGGAGTAAGCCTTTAAAGACCTTGCAAGAAAGGCTCTGTGTAACAACTAATGGTATGAAAGCAGAACATTCCTTGTTGGAACAGATCAGATTTTACTGGCTTTATAGAAGGTTATTGCTCTTTTTACCACTGACATGTCTTAGACAGCCAAGTTAGCTAACTGAATTCTGATAGTGTCTTTACAGCAAGGTTAAAAAATTACACTCACTCACTAGCCATATGCTTGTGACAATTTAGCCCTGGCAAGTACAAATTAATTGGGAGTGAGCCATGGTCATACTAGGCTTGTGTCAATTAAAGGACCACTATAGGCACCCAGACCACTTCAGCTTAATGAGGTGGTCTGGGTGCCTGGTCCATCTAGGGTTAACCCTTTTTTCTATAAACATAGCAGTTTCAGAGAAATTGCTATGTTTATGTTAGGGTTAATCCAGCCTCTAGTGGCTCTCATTAACAGCCGCTAGAGGGCTTCCGCGTTTCTCACTGTGAAAATCACAGTGAGAAGACACCAGCGTCCATAGGAAAGCATTGTGAATGCTTTCCTATGGACTGGCTAAATGCGCGCGCGGCTCATGCCGCGCATGCTCATTCAGCCGAAGAGGAGGAGAGGAGGAGGAGAGCTCCCCGCCTGGCGCTGGAAAAAGAGGTAATATTTTAACCCCTTCCTCTCCATCCAGCCCGGCGGGAGGGGGACCCTGAGGGTGAGGGCACCCTCAGGGCACTATAGTGCCAGGAAAACGAGTATGTTTTCCTGGCACTATAGTGGTCCTTTAACTTCTGGGCCTACCTAGTAGCTAGTAGCATCAGATCTAGAATTATGAGCCCTGATTATAGTATAATAAAGATCAAAGATAAAATACTAAAGGATCAATTTATTTCCTAAGCATTGATAACGATAAGTTGATAAAGGAGGTCCTGTTCAAAAGTTTTCAGGACAAATCTCCAAATAATATGCAAAAAACCAAATAGGTTTTCTAATGCATTCAAGTGTGTACGTCAATTTAGTTAGATAAAAGGAAAGAAACAGTCCATAAAGTATTAAGTAGAAATTGCTACATAGAGTGGTGTAGCAAAATAGGGTTCTAAAGGTCTTAAATGATGAAAAAATCTAAATACATTAATAACCTTATGTGAAAAATCATGATATCAGCATAATAGCTTGACCACACAGAGCCCCATTCATAGTGCTTGTTGGATCCAAAACATGCACTAAACAAAATATAGTGATATAAGAAAAGTTATTCTTCACTATATAAATACCTCCTGCAGTGGGAATAGAGATCACTGCCAAAATAGATCAAGGGCATATACTCAGTAGACCCCCCACTAATATAGCTGGAGTAGGGCTGAATATCGATGTATAAAATATGGAGTCTAATGACCATCTGAACAGATGCCAGTACTATGGTAAATGTATATCGATAGAGCCCTTTCCCCTGACGCGCGCGTTTCTCCCACAGCTCTATCGATATACATTTACCATAGTACTGGCGTCTGTTCAGATGGTCATTAGACTCCATATTTTATACATCGATATTCAGCCCTACTCCAGCTATATTAGTGGGGGGTCTACTGAGTATATGCCCTTGATCTATTTTGGCAGTGATCTCTATTCCCACTGCAGGAGGTATTTATATAGTGAAGAATAACTTTTCTTATATCACTATATTTTGTTTAGTGCATGTTTTGGATCCAACAAGCACTATGAATGGGGCTCTGTGTGGTCAAGCTATTATGCTGATATCATGATTTTTCACATAAGGCTATTAATGTATTTAGATTTTTTCATCATTTAAGACCTTTAGAACCCTATTTTGCTACACCACTCTATGTAGCAATTTCTACTTAATACTTTATGGACTGTTTCTTTCCTTTTATCTAACTAAATTGACGTACACACTTGAATGCATTAGAAAACCTATTTGTTTTTTTGCATATTATTTGGAGATTTGTCCTGAAAACTTTTGAACAGGACCTCCTTTATCAACTTATCGTTATCAATGCTTAGGAAATAAATTGATCCTTTAGTATTTTATCTTTGATCTTTATGATCCATTTACTATTATCAGTTTAAGCATATATTTAAAATATTGTATTTTTGCTAATCATTTTGGATACATCATATAAATTGTTTTAACTTGATTTAGTATTAAAAGTTATATTTTAACTTGAGGGCACTCACTTTTTCTCTTTCTTTGCCTTTACTACTGTTGTAGTTCATAAAGGGTTAACCCCTATAAGAGTGCATCCTTTTTGCTTCCTATTTTCTCTGTTTTTTACTCATTATAGTATACGATTATAATCTTAAATGGTTAGTAATGCATTTTGATTCCGGGCTATTAGAACTTACCTCTTTCATCTTTTCTGACATGATATGCGTGCTCGGCGTTCTGAAATGAATGTTCAGGACAATGACACAACTCACTACCACTATTGTCACCAATACCATGATAAACATGAGGTACCTGTAGGACACAAAATATACATTCAGCACAACTTAGATACTTTTAGCTTTTCTGTGGAAGTTCAATCAGCTTGGCAAGAAGAGACATATATTTTTAATCCAAATTGCATATTTGGGGATCTAGCATAAAACGCACTGCATTAAAAAGTCTAATAATACATAACCAAATGTGGTTATATGATGCCACATCAGCAATTGTCTTGCATTTAAATCAGTATATATATATATTTTTTTATCCTAAACTATATGCAAATATACATATATATATATATATATATATAGATAGATAGATAGATATAGATAGCGTAGTAAATAGATAGATATAGATATATATATAGAGAGATATTTCTTTTTATATCATTTGTATTTAGAGGTAACACCTAGATCTGCATGGAACGGCATGGAATTTAAAATAAGCTTATTTTTTTTACTCACTTGCTGATGAGTGGAATGGCCAAGGAAGTCTCAGGAAGGCGCTGCGAGATCAGCAACAGGAAGACAGCTTGAGCCAAAAGCACAGAAATGGACAATGTCATTTTCTCACCACCTAGACAAAGCACACAGTTACACACAAGATTACCATAAACTGGCCTTACAGCAAACTAATGCTATGAATGAAAGAAGCAACAATATGTAGCTTGTTATGTTAGGTTTATGTTTACCACTTTTCTTTGGTGGTGAAACTAATTGTAAAAATACTCCCATACACCCCACCAGGGCCGGACTGGGAGAAAAATTCGGCCCGGGCATTTTTTTAACACAGCGGCCCACTAAAAAGGGGGCGGGGCAGAGGAGGTGTGTTTTGTCATCACCAATGACAAACACGCCTCCTCTCAAAGTGAGCATGTTGGTTCAATGTTCTTCCAGGGCAGACCATGCGCAGAGCTCTGCTGAAGAGCTCTAGCATGAGAAAAAAGTCCTGTATTTGTTCTGCACAGTGCAAGCAAATTTAATAACATGCTTGCACTGTGTTTCCTTGCAACTTGTCTCTGGTGTCTCTATAAATGGATACCAGGAGACAAAAGGCCAGGACAGAGTATTGTGCATATGTTTGGAGCCTGCTTGTGGTATTGCGTGTGTGTAGAGTGAGCTGGTCGTGGTGTGGTATTGTGTAATAAGGTCGGTTTTAGTCGTGTTGTGTTTGTGGTGTAATGTGATGCATATGTGGCTCAGGAACCCCCTCCCACACGGCTCTGGAAAGGGGTTAAAACTTACCTTTTCCAGCGCCGGGCGGGGAGCTCTCCTCCTCCGATTGCCGCGGCTGAATGCGCATTATCGCTGCAAGAGCTGCGCGCGCATTCAGCCGCGCATAGGAAAGCATTTATAATGCTTTCTATGGACGCTTGCGTGCTCTCACTGTGATTTTCACAGTGAAAAGCACGCAAGCGCCTCTAGCGGCTGTCAATGAGACAGCTGCTAGAGGTTTTGGGGGAAGGCTTAACCTATTGATAAACATAGCAGTTTCTCTGAAACTGCTATGTTTATAAAACAATGGGTTAACCCTAGAAGGACCTGGCACCAAGACCACTTCATTAAGCTGAAGTGGTCTGGGTGGCTAGAGTGGTCCTTTAAGAGTGTAGTGTGTATATATATATATATATATATATATATATATATATTTTTTTTTTTTTTGGAAGTATTGTGTATGTGTGTGGTGCAGTGTGTTGGGGGGTTCTGTGTGTATGTGAGGGGTGCAGTATGTGTGTGTGTGAGGGTGCGGTGTGTGTGTGTGTGTGAGGGTGCGGTGTGTGTGTGATGTGTGAGGGTGCGGTGTGTGTGTGATGGGTGTGAGAGTGCCGTGTGTGTGTGATGGGTGTGAGAGTGCCGTGTGTGAGTGATGGGTGTGAGAGTGCTGTGTGAGATGGGTGTGAGAGTGCTGTGAGAGAGTGCTGTGAGAGAGTGCTGTGAGAGAGTGCTGTGTGTGAGAGAGTGCTGTGTGTGATGGGTGTGAGAGTGCTGTGTGTGTGTGTGAGTGTGAGAGTGCTCTGTGAGAGTGCGCTGTGTGTGATGGTGTGAGAGTGCTGGTTGTGAGAGTGCTGGGTGTGAGTGCTGGGTGTGAGTGCTGGGTGTGAGTGCTGGGTGAGAGAGTGCTGTGTGTGATGGGTGTGAGAGTGCTGTGGGAGAGAGTGCTGTGTGTGATGGGTGTGAGAGTGCTGTGGGAGAGAGTGCTGTGTGTGATGGGTGTGAGAGTGCTGTGGGAGAGAGTGCTGTGTGTGATGGGTGTGAGAGTGCTGTGGGAGAGAGTGCTGTGTGTGATGGGTGTGAGAGTGCTGTATAAATGTTATTGTGTGTGTGTGTAGGGGGGGTAAATAAAAAAAAAAAAAAAGTCATTATTTCCCCCCCTCCCTTCTTACCTTTAGCCTGGGAGGGGGGGACCGGCACGCTGGCAGGCAGGGTGGCGGTGTTCCCTGGTGGTCCTCGTGGGTGAGTGAACTCTAGCCTGTGAGGCTAGAGTTCACTCTCGCGAGATCCGGTCGTTGCCATGGCAACGCGCCGGATCTCGCGAGAGGAACCCGGCGGAGCTGCAAGTTAGAGCTCCGCCGGGTCCTCTCTCCAGCCTGGCTGGCTGTCTCCCTCCCTCCGTCCCCGCCGGCGGCCGCATGTGGGCCGGTCAGGGAGATCCTTGATCTCCCCACCGGCCCGTCGTGACAAACAGCGGGGCCGGCGCTAGGAGAGTGCCGGCCCTGCAGGGGCCGGCCGGGGAGATCCTGTGATCTCCCCTGCCGGCCTCGGCCCATGGCCACCGCGGCCCACCGGGCATTTGCCCGCTGTGCCCGATGGCCAGTCCGGGCCTGCACCCCACTCTGCAATATCCACGTGGCTCAGACCTGGCCTCTGAACCCACAAGATGGCGGCAGAAGACTTCAGAAACACTTCCACGATGCACATTGACTACAATGTCCAAACTAGACTATATTTTTGAGAAGTTCCTATCCCGCTTAAAGGCAAGTATGCAGCCGCCTCCACACAGTAGCCGACAGAAGGTGCAACCATCTTCCCACACAGTTGTGAGTGTGGGACTATTACTAAGTCTGTCAGTAATCCTTTGACCCACCCCACCTGGCTCCCACAACCAGATCCTAATCATACCAGTACCACAGGAACTAAAATGCACTGGCAACTGGCATGGAGCTGGGCTTGGGCCCAGAATTGTGTAGAGGCTTGCTACTACTCATTCGCCTTTCAAGATGGCGGCTACGGCCTTCGGGATCCTCAATGGAACTCAGAAACAATGTTGCAGCAGGTTTTCCTGTGCTATAGGAGTCACACATACTGGGACTATCAGCCTTTGAGCTGGCTGCCTGCCTACAGACTCGGCATCAGATGACTACATAATTACTTACTGGCAGATTTCAAGGGCTGTGTGGTCACATAAGGTTTAATCATGATCTCTCCCTAAAAGGGTGTTTTCCTGTTCAATACTAGCCTAGCCTTCTTGTATTTATTGCTACCCACGCTCTTAAACTCTCTTAACATACTCGCATACTCGTGTATTAAGCTACATGTCAGCTAGTACAGACAGTCAGTCCTTTCTCTAGCACTCTTGAATTTCTCTTCTGACATATCTTGTTATACATCTTTTTTTTCATTTTTAAAACTTGTTATATCTGCATGTCTTCTCTCTTTGTTTATATGCGCAACTGATGTCTTTACCTATGTACCATACCACTGCACGACAAAAAAAAAACATAATAATTTTTCAAAATCTATATAATTATTTGGTTATAAATCAGAAGATTTATTATCCATTATATGCCAACCCATTGCATGCCATGGACACTTACTGTCAGCTGGTAGGTAAAAGACCAGATTGGCCATTAGTGCAATGAGCACACATGGAGCCAGTATATTAATTATGTAGAAGAGTGGTTTGCGCTCAATAAGAAGGTAAAAAGTGATGTCCTGGTACTTGTTGCTTTCTGGAGATACGCTTCTGTCAATGTTCTTCTTTGCTGGAATATGGACAATTTCCCACTCTCCATTCTCTATAGTACCGATAAAAAAGGTCAATAAGTATCAAAACAGGGACATATCTAAACAAACTGGTTTCAAATATGTATTTATTTTTTTCATGAGTGACTAGCTAAGTACAGTTGATTTTAAAATGAATGGGGTGAGTAAACTGTTCTAAAGTTATTGGCAAGTGTCTGTTATCCTTGAAATCTAAGTACCCTCAACTCAGCACCCTATCTGTCTTCTTGAGAGACATTAGAGGGTACTTCCGCTGCAGTAACAAGTCAGACTTGGTTCTTCAATCAATGCTTTTCATGGAGAGCATTTGATTGGAGGCATTGAGAAACACTGCATTGGTAACGGAGGCGGATTCGGTGGCTGCAGGGACTGGATCTTGACATTGGAAAAAGGGTGAGTAAAAGTATTTTTTTATTGCAGTTAGTGGGACCCAGAAATCTAAACAGCAAGTAGAAACACTATAGTGTTACGAATACACGTTTGTATTCAGAATGCTATAGTGTTTTCTTTAAAAAGTTTTAAGAATAATTTGATTAAAAGGAGCAATATGTTCTATTTGTAACAGTTCATGTTTAATGTTTAGTTTTTTCTGCATATTTACTGACACTTTAATTTAAAATAAAAACTCTACATGATTGCATCCTGCTCTGGATTACCCGCAAGACACCCAAGGCCATGGCTTGGGGCGGCTGGTAGGAGACTAGTGGTAGTGCCATTAAGGAATGTGAGGTCTACACCTCTAGCGGATACAGACTTCTTCAAGAACTCTCACGGTCCCTGGGCTCAGAGTACTGTCAATATACCAGATGACCAGGGCAGTGCTCTGATTCATCTAAAAATGCATTTGACGTTTGATTTTAATAAATCTATGACTGGCAGATTCTGTATTTAAACATTATATAAATATAGGAAGGGGGAGGGGGCACATAGAGTTAACGGATGAAATAAAAGGTAAATCTAATCCCTCTTGCAACTGATAAAATACCTCTTATGCTTTCCCACTTTGTCAGTGCATTTTATGGAGCAGCTAGAATACCTGTGAACCCCTCAGGGTCAATTATGATCCATTCTACGTAGTATTCTCTTTCTGTTTCACCTTCGGGATCCTTCCTCAGTTGCAGGTTGATCTCTTTGGCATTGTAATTCAAAGAGCTAAAAACGAACACACAAACAAAGGGATAATTTGTATGCTACACCTGAGTCTATTAACTAAACACAAATTACTTTTTGCAAATTTGACTGATTCCATTCAGTTAAATTTTTCGGCATTCGATTGTTAAAATTCTTCTGTGGTTTACTCTGTTCACTAAAAGCTGAATGATAGTCAAATTGCTACAGTGAGATTTAAGAACGGCCCAATTGAACTGCAACCAAATCATAACTGAATTTCCCTGCTACAAAAAAGCTCTAATGTTATAGTAGATTTTGGAGTAAAATGATTTACTGCTTTAAAAGGGTTTTGTTGTAGTGTCAGAGTACCCTAGGATTAGAAAAACTTACAGGATCATTACTAGAGCGAACATTTAAAGTGAATTGGAAAAATTCTCTAAGCCATCTGTGCTTTCAGTTCTACTGTTTTGACCTTAAATTTTAAATGTACTTTGAATTCTCACTTTACTCTTTTAGATTTTCAAGCAGATAACCTGGTCTCTGTCAGGGGCATTGGAACCATTGCATACCTCTCAACATTAAGAGTTATGGAATCGGGATGGGTGGACAGGCCTTCAGAGGGGAATCAACAATTAGGCAATTAAGTGTCACGGATGATCTCCAAAATGGGTTTCCTCACTCAAGGGGTCAGCCTGGAGCCAAGAAAGATTGGGGCCCCTTCCTAGCCAACCCCCTACATACCATACATAACCAACACAGAGAGCACTGCTGAAGCACACTGTCTGCATGGTCCTAGATGAAACACCCTGGACTTGCCAGGAAGGGTACCCAATCTGTCTCAGTATCTGTTAGCGCTAGAGACCTTAAACATGAAGGGAGCCAGTGCGTTTAGCTCACTTGGCCAAAATTGGGTTATATGGAGATTTGGCTGATTGCAACAAACGGGGTTATACACTAACATGTCTTGTACCATAATGGGGCATTCAGACACCAAACTCCAAACATTGTTCAGAAGATGTCTGGATTTTATATAACAAGCTCTGAATGAGCCTAAACCAACATTAAAATTTTTAATCCAGTTGACCATCCATCAGCACACTGTTTGACTACTTACATTGGGGACTCTAGGATCAGGGCCGACGCTACCATAAGGCAGCACAGACGGCTGCCTTAGAGCTCGGGATCCAGGTCACTGGTACTTGGCAGGAGGAGAGTGCACTGCACAGCGCTCCCCTCCTGCCAGACATTCATTGTAGCGTGAGCAAGTGGCGGACCAGAGTAGAGGAGCTTGTTTCCCTCTACCTGACAGGAAGTGTGCACATGGAGCACACTCAGATCAGTGTTCCTCAATACTCTCCTCAAGGCACACCTAATAGTCCAGGATTTATGGATTACTCTAAGGTGTTTTTCTTTCTTTTTTTAAATACCTTAGACACATTCGGGTACTCCTTAAATCCTGGACTGTTAGGTGTGCCTTGAGGAGCACTGACTCAGAGTAGAGGGAAACAAATAACTCTACTGTTGTCTATGGCTCGATCATGCTACACAGGAGTGAGTTAAGCGGACACAGGTTTGGAGACTGGGGACTGGGGGAATGAGAAACATGGAAGAGCTGGGGGATTGAGACACATGGGTGGCTGAGGCAATGGAATGAGGAGCTGGGGGAATGAGAAACATTTAGGGACTAAGGTAAATGAGACACATAGAAGGGCTGGATGGAGGAAATGAGACATGTGGACTGCATGAATGTGCTTGTGGGGGACACAAATCAATATAGAGAGACTGGGGGAAAAATAGAAAAGGCGCTTGTGGAAGAGACACACAAATGGGGCTGTGGAGAGAAAGAGACACACAAAGGGGCTAGGGAAGGGGCAAAAGCAATGGTTAATTTAACTCTGCTTCCATGCAGATCTAAGGGGATTATAGACCAGTATTTCCAGGATATCGTGGACCTTAACCGGTTAAGTAAAAAATCTAAATGATAACTGTGTTTATTTCTAGTTTAAAACTAAGATTGCAACCAATTAGATGAATAAGATAAATTCTGCACCAGTATTCATGGTTTAAGGTGGATACATACCTAAACTTAAGAGAGCAGTTTTGCCAGTCAAATGGAAAGTAGTTCACATTGATGGAACAAGAGGTTTGATAAATAGCAGGTGGCAGCCAGTAAACACGACCACTGCTCTCTATCAGGACATTGCAGTAATAAGCCACCTCAAAGTTTCCATTGTTGCTACAGAGAGAAACATAAAATGTTTTAAATGTATATATGGCACTAAAGACATACATGGAGTTGCTCCATTAATTCTGGCTTTGGACATTTATTACAGAGAGAGAAAGAGATGAGAGATTCATATGGTGATAGCTGAATCTTTATATCATTATCTGTATCTTTCTATTTATTACTATCTCATTATGTAGCGTGTTTCTTAGTGAATTGAAATACTTAGTGATTGTTCTTGGACTAAAAAGAAATGTTAAGCACCAAAACCAATTAATCTTAATGAAGTGGTTTTGGTCATTTTTCTCTGTAAAGTAAAACATTTCCGGTTCAGTGAAATGGCAATGTTTACATTTGTGAGAGAACACGTCTTTATTGACCGTCATACTGGAAGCAACGAGAGGCACTTCCTCAAAGGTCTTTGCATTTGACATCATCATGCTGACACATTTGATTTAATGCTTCCCAAGTGGTTTAATGGAGCAATTGCTGTGCATCAATAGTAGACTCAGATATATGGATGATCTCAAAAAGTTTGAGCCAGGGTAGGTGTGGCTATGGCTACATAAATAGAAGCATAGTGATTTAATATATAAATGGCAGAGAACTGAGCAGTGAGACTACAGGGCCAGGATCTATACACAAAAGTGGCTTCTTTAAGCTTAAGTTTGTTTTTAGCTTTCCTAAAAACATGCAACACCACAAGCAGACACACACACTCACACATAGACCCACAAGTAGGACACCCACACCATTCTCTATCGGCCCTGTCTCACTTTACATTCTCCCAATTAGTCACAATCACCATTCAGTCATATTGTAAACGAGTCACATACACCCAACATTTTCCATTTATGTATATATGAAGGGGGATAAATTGAGGAAACTGTACATGGGCAGCAAGAAGAATTTATGCGGCTGTGATCTGTGCTGGGTTTTGCCAGCTGCCCAGCACCAATCACAGTACAATTGACTGGGAAAGTAAATCTCCCTGTATTGCTGAAAAAAACAGCCATCAAATAGTGGTCACAAATCATTTTCTTCTGTTTTAACTAGAAAACCCATCGGCTGTTATCTTTACTGATATTAGCAGAGGGTTTCCTTGGGGTAGGGTTAGGGGTAGGATTAGAGTTAGCATAGAGCTAGTGGTAGTCTAAGGTAAGGCTTAATGCTGGGTTAGCTGTAATGCTATTCTGGAGTTGGGACGTTTTTGGTGTTTTGGAGTTAGGAATAATGTATGGATACTTCAAAAAACAGTGTTTTTCTAAAACACTAGTATTGGTTAATCCTTTCTAAGATGGTCGTCGTCACCAAATAAAAAAATAAATTAAAAAAAGCTAAATTTTCTTTGTCTGACATCACTCTCCCTTGCCAGAGAAATGTCAGAGAGCACTGATAGAGTGGCACAAGGTTGGTACCAGTTTGCTTTGTGTCCTGGCATCAGATGCCAGTTTTGCTATTTGCGCTCTTAAGGGGTTAACAAATAATACAAATTAATAAATGATAATAAAAAATATAATAATTAATCTATACCATACATTTAATAACCAAAATAAATGTTTTAATAAATCTAAAAAAATAAAACACTAGTGATTTTCTTATTCTCTAAACCCAATGCTTGGAACAGTTTTACTGCAGTTTCTATTCTTACTTATTTTCCAGGACGAGTTGTGGTTGCCACACCATGTCTGGAGGGACCCGGAGAATATTAATATCATAGAACTCTGACTCATTCCATGACAGTCTTCTATCATACCACACCTGGGGAATATGGAGAGGGCACTTGATTATATAAAATAAGCTTTAGTAAATTAAAGGGTTAGTCCAAGCATCATGATCACTTCAGTGGTTTCAAGTGCTCATAAAGCGAGAAACCTATACATGCAGCATTACAGAGATATATTTAGGCTAGCTGCCAGAGATTCTGTGCTGGCTAATGTCAATTCTGAGCATATATCTAGCACAGGATTTCATTTGCTTCTAGAACTCTTGAACAACTACAAGTCAGTGAGACAGCATTAGAAGAGGCTTGGTGCCCATCAGAACACACCTTCTTACAGAGAAACAGTGCCATCATAATCACTGCAATGGACTATAGCAGTTATAATGCTTGGAATAAAACTTTAAGCTATTTCTCAAAAGCAGACTTACATCTTATATATAAAAAAAAAAAAAAACGTATAATGCACGCACTAAAACAGGGGGAATACTTCCTGCAGTGTGCTCCAGAAATGGAGATCCAATCCTGCAGACATCAAATGGAAGAATATAAATATCCGGGCACCCCTGAGGTTTCTTCTAAAAGGCAGACTTTTTATTTGGAACAAGAAAGTGGAGACATTTCGGTTCCTCTCTCAGCCTTTATCAGACTTGATAAAGACTCAGAGAGGAGCCAAAACATTGTATCCACTTTCTTGTTCCAAATAAAGACTGCCTTTTAGAAGAAACCTCAGGTGTACCTGGATCTTTTTTTCTTCCATTTTATATTTTATATAATTCTGCAAAAGCAGCCAACATAGTAATGTATCTGTGAAATCAAGTATGCACATTTTGCAGTAAATTTCATTGTAAGTCAGGACCCTACTAAAAATCCTTATGCTTATGGCCTTATTTACTAAATTAAGAATTTAAAGTGAATTTCAAATTCAAGGTCAGAATAGCCAAACTGGAAAAATTCAGCTATTTTTTCAGTTTCAGTGCTCTGGCCTTACAATTGGAATTCTTTTAGAATTCTCACTTTAGTAAATAACCCAGTAAGTGTTAGTTGACAATGAGATACATTTAGCATAAAGTGTTTATTGTGATTTTATTTTTTGACTACCCCAGTAGAATGCGCAAAAATTTATATAAATTGCAGCTCTTACCTGCTCAACCCATACATTGGTACTCAGAGTTTCATCGGCTTCTTTCTGCAAAAAATACCAGAATTATCCCATTTGTTATATAAGCTATCTGCAGAATATTGTTCTGACAAAGATGACAGCTAAAATGTATTCCACAATAAACCAATGTAGACTTGATAGTGGAGGGGAACGTTCCTTTTTCCTTTTCACTTGCTGTGCATTGGTTGGAGGATAATAGAGATCACGTTTAACATTAATTTGCTGGTGTCCCAGACAACCCTGTTTTTTATATTAACTCCTAATGCTCAATATAATAGGGGAATTTAATAACTCAATGAATGATGATAAAACCCCTAAATTATTTCTCTTTATTTTTGAGCTTCTTAAATTTCATAGGCATGTACATACTGTGAAAACTACACTGTTGGCATTTAGTTCAGAGACAGAGCTCTTTAACAGTGCACTGCTCATGTCCTGACCTCAATGGACAGCTATAAGACTAGTCAGCCTGGCGTGCATTTAGGGCAAACTGGCATGCCCCTTTTTTGAAAGCATGTCCCCTTTTTGAATGGGCCTGTCCCCTTTGGGCATCACCAGGGATGCAACTGCTTCATTGTCACACTCCTTTAGGCCCACCGCCTGTCTTAGATCTATATCTCACAATGTTACAAGGTATGGTTAAAGGGGCATAAACACTGCAACCATTAGAGCCTGCTGCAGCCACTGGCACCATTCACTGGTTTTGTGTCAATTAATCATTCATTTCCTATGGCTTAATATAAACCAAATCTGCTGATGGAACACCATTGCCATGAAGTAGAGTATGTGGTCTGCAACAATCTCTAAGTAGGTAGTAAATGTCAAAATAACATCCACGTGAATGCCAGGACCCAAGGTATCCCTGAATAAGACTACACAAATCATAACACTTTCTCTGTCAGCATGTCTTCTTCCTATTGAGCATCCTGTTGTCTTCTCTTCCCCAGGAAGACAATGTCTTTCCTTGCGCCACTTTTGGTAGGTACTAAGAATTGCATACCAAGAACACTCCACAAGACTTTCTGTTTTGGAGATGCTATGATCCAGTCATCTAGTAACCACATTTTGCCACTTGTCAAAGTCACTATGATCTTTTCACTTGTCCTTTTTTCCTGCATCCAACACATGAAATTCAAAAACTGGCTGTTCACTTGCTTCCTAATAAATCCAACCCTTTCACAGGATCCATTGTAATAATACAATTAATGTTATTCACTTCACCAGTCAGCAGGGCCAGACTGGGAAAGAAATTTGGCACCGGCATTTTTTAATCACAGTGGCCCACTGAAAAGGGGGAGGGTCAGATAGGATGTGTTTTGTCATCCCCAATGACAAGCACACCCTATCTTAAAGTGAGCATGTTGGTTCAATGCTCTTCCGGGGCAGACCATGCGCACAGCTCTGCTGAAGAGCTTTGGCATGAGAAAAGGGCCATGTATTTGTTCTGCATAGCGCAAGCAAATGTAATAACATGCTTGCAGGAGACAAAAATGCCAGGAAAGAGTACTGTGCATGTGTTTGGAGTCTGCTTATGTGATTGTATGTAGAGTGAGCTGATTGTGGGTTGGTTTTGTGTTAATAGGTTGGTTTCAGTCATGTTGTGTTTGTGGTGTAATGTAATGTATGTGTGTCTAGGTGCCTTAGAGAGTGTGTGTATAGGGGACAGAGTGTGTATAGGGGATGTAGATAGTGTGTACATACGGGCTATAGTGTGTGTGTGTATAGGTGATGTAGTGTGTGTAGGGGATGTAGAGAGTGTGTGTTTAGGGAAGGTAATATGTGTTTGCTTACAAGGAATCTAGTATGTGCATAGGGGATCCAGAGTGTGTATGTCAGAAATGTAGTGTGTGTGTGTAGAGGATCTAGTGTGTGTTTGAAGGACCCAGACTGTGTATAGGAGATCTAGTGAGTGTATGTGTAGAGGATTCAGAGTGTATAAAAGGGATCTAGTGTGTGTATATGTACATGATTCAGAATTGGGTAAGGTATCTAGTGTGTGTCTGGAATGTGTTTAGGGGTGCAGTATGTGTGTGAGGGGTTCTGTAGTATATATTCATAAATGTTTAGAAGTAGTGTATATGTGTGTGTGTGTGTGTGTGTGGTGCAGTGTGTTTGGGGGCTGCTGTGTGTATGTGTGAGGTGTGCAGTGTGTGTGTGAAGAGTGTAGTGTGTATTTGTGAGGAGTATAGTGTGTATTTGTGAGGAGTATATTGTGTGTGAGGGGTTCAGTGTGTGGGTGCAGTATGTGTGTGCGGGTGCTGTGTGTGAGTTGTGCAGTGTGTGTGTGTGAGTTGTGTGAGTTGTTCAATGTGTGAGGTGTGCAGTGTGTGTTTGAGGGTGCTGTGTGTGTGTGTGTGAGTGAGGGTGCTGTGTGTGTTGGGGGAATAATAAAATAAAAAAACAGGCATTGTATCCCCCCTCCCTTCTTACCTTTAGCCTGGGAGGGGGGACCGTGCTGCCATCCCTGGTGGTCCTAGTGGTGAGTGAAGTCTAACCTGTGGGGATAGAGTTCACTCTCACGAGACCCGGAGCTCTGGATTTCGCAAGAGGAACCCAGCTGAGCTGCAAGATAGAGCTCCTCCGGGTCCTCTCCTGTCTCCCTCTCCCTCCCCAGCCAGCGCCTGCATCACACTGCATGTGGGCCGGTGAGGGAGATCTTTGATCTCCCTACCGGCCCGTCATGGAACACAGTGGGGCCAGCACTCAGTTAGCACAAACCCTGCATGGACCGGCCGGGGAGATCCTGTGACCTCCCCTGTCGGCCTTGGCACATGGCCACCGCAGCCTGCTGGGCATTTGCCCAGTGTGTCCGATGGCCAGTCCGGGCCTACCAGTCAGTGGTTTTAATGTTGTTTCTGATGAGTAGATAAATAAAGAGATAGATAGATATGCTTAATGAATTTGATTTGTAATAATCACATTTTAAACTACTGGATTGATTCTTGTTAGTTTACATATACATAATTATTAATTTAGCTATTATTTTAAAATTGCCACTAGAGGTCACTAAATCTATCATTCAAAATTAACCTTGGTTTAATATGGTTGGGTTAAGCTTTTCAACTGATATTAATAAATATCTTTTTTTAAAAGTTTATATTATTAAAAATATTTTAAATGTGTACTATGTTGATATGTTTAATATATTGATTTTTTTTAATATTTTCATATTTAGAAAAAATACTTTAAAAAGTTTATCCAAAAATATTTAAGAATTTGAAAAGCTATCCAGTGATATTAAATGGAGGCCTTATTGGATATGTCCAATACATTAGATATGGATATCTCCAGTTTAAAGGTTTTACTTACCTTTCTTCCAGAGCCAAGACTTCCATCGTGCAGGCATCGCACCCCTGGTGTTTGTCTAATCAATGCTCCTCATAGCGGAGCAACAGTCATGCACATTCATGGCGAGCTGTGCGCAAACATCCAATCAAATGCTTCCCATAGGAAAGCAATGAATTCAGTGCTTTCCTATGATCTGCATTTGATGATGTTCACACCACATGACTGAGTTTTACTTGTTTGATGCTTTGGAAGTGTCTCTAGGCGCTCACACTGTGACAGTCAGTAGAGGTGTCTTTAACCCTTCAAGATAAAGTTTGGCATTTTGAGAATGTTTTTCCTGGGAGAGTTAAAACTACAGGACCACTGCACCCAGACTACTTCAATGAGATGAAGTGGTCTGGGTGACTTTAACGGCCCTTTCAATTATTTGGGAATTCTTCCTACATTTAGTAAGAACAAAGAACGTTTATATTAGGGATCTTGCAGTAAAATTATCTGGGGTCCACAGGCAATTCATCATCTCCAATGGGGGCTGCAAATCCTTATTGCCAAGTCCATGCTCCATTTTACACAGACGCACACAAATCCTAACTCCATTACACACAGACACACACAACTCCCAAAAACACAGACACTTGCACATTCCCACACACAACGACACAAAAAAATACACATCCATACAACTGTATGCTCCCAAACACATAAATATCTACACAAATGGGGGGCGGAGCCTGACTGCCAAGCTGGCTGGATGCACGTGGCTGGAGCTCCAGGCCCATGACTCCAATCGTGAACAATCTTACCGGAATATCAGTGGATACTCCTTGCTACCTCAAGCAGTTAATTCTTGCACCAATCTTGCACCTATGTGGCTGGCGGCTCCACGATGGAGCAAACTTGTGGCCTATGGGAGGCTGAAGTGGGGAGAAGTGGCCGCTCTCCTCACCCCTGGATCGACTACAGGGTCCAAGCATGCTCCTACCCCCATGGACTGGTGGGGATATCCTGGTCCCCTCTTGGGAGATGGCACTCTCACCCACACTGGACGTGTCCGTTCCCGCAGTGATGGTTGTTTGCCGGGCACCAGCTAAGATGGCCGCAGACGAGGTGACTATACCACTCCACCCCTTCACAACTCAGGGCTCATTAGAAGACCGCATCAATCAGGCCTTCAAGCACTTCTGGGCGCAACTTTGGAGCAGGATGAGGGGGAAGCAGAGATGGAAGACACAGAGCATGCTTCACCGCAGACGACCAGGTCTTGCTGAGCTGAGCTACTTACCTAGATCACAAGAGGTGGTACCCACACATACTGCTGCCCTCCTCGGATGACCCACACTCAAGGCACCCTTTAAAAAGCCACGCACACCATCAGGTTGTATCAGCAGCTCCACAAGGGACTTGTGGGCTCCATATCCTGATCCGTATGCCGGCTAGGAGTTGGTGGGGTGCAGTTGCAGACGACTCTACCACGTTATCTCACCAGTCCAGCACCCATCTTATGACAGGGATAGGCTGGGCATGTTGATAGCTAGCTAATACAGTCTACATTAAGCAGAAATGGGAGATATATGCTCTTTTTTCTATATACTGTCTTGCCCAGTGTAATTTGTTATTTAGCAAAATGTTCTCTCTACTCTTCTACTGCAACATTAATATGTACATGTCCCTCATTTTGTCAAGGCTGTTTTTCTTATGTTCTATTAGCTTGGGTCCTAATCTCAGACTTGACATATTTTACCTATCCTGATGTAACTAGTCACATATTCTACACTTTAACTCTCTGTTGTTTTAATCTACTCTTAAAACAAAAAAAATGTGCTGACACCATAAAAAAAAAAAAAATATCTATACATATTCAATTTACGCTCTCACTCTCAGCACATGTAGCATGGTTGGGCTCTTGTGTTTAGTGATGTCTCGCAAGTAAAAAAGTATCATGTTCAGGCTTTATGGGGTTTTGAAAAGTTACAGGGTCAAATATAAGGCTTTCCACTTTTCAGTTTATACACATTGACATTTTCCAGATAGATTTGCTAGGTCTATGTTGTCTTTGAGACCATATGGCAGCCTTAGAACAAAACTTACCCCATCATTGCCATTTGCAAAAGTAGACAACCCAGGGGATTCAAAATGGGATATGTCCAGTCATTTTAGTAGATACTTAGTCAAAACCCAAGGCCAAAATTAGTGTTCATATTTGTTTTTTGCATTTTTCACACAAAAACTGCCCTTTTATACATGTTCAGCAATGTCTCATGAACACAACAGTACACCCCATGGAAAGTTACACCACACATGCGCATCAGTTCCCCAATGTTCCATTATGAGGAGCATTGGATTGGACATGCGGTGGAGGAAGTGATGCATCTTCAATGAGGTAAGCAGCTCCAAGGTAGTCTTGACCCTGGAAAAAGGCCATTTTATGGCATATGGGAGAAAGGGTTGGCCTGAATCTATCTAGGGACCAAGGCGCCATAGAGTTAGGAAGAGTATTCCTATTGCTATAGTGTTCTTTTAAAGGACCACTATAGTGCCAGGAAAACATACTCGTTTTCCTGGCACTATAGTGCCCTGAGGGTGCCCCCACCCTCAGGGTCCCCCTCCCGCCCGGCTCTGGAAAGGGGAAAGGGGTTAAAACTTACCTTTTCCAGCGCTGGGCGGAGAGCTCTCTCCTCCCTCCTCCTCTTCTCCTCCCCGTCGGCTGAATGCGCACGCGCGGCAAGAGCTGCGCGCGCATTCAGCCATAGGAAAGCATTCATAATGCTTTCCTATGGACGCTGGCGTGCTCTCACTGTGAAAATCACAGTGAGAAGCACGCAAGCGCCTCTAGTGGCTGTCAATGAGACAGCCACTAGAGGAAATAGGGGAAGGCTTAACCCATTCATAAACATAGCAGTTTCTCTGAAACTGCTATGTTTATTAAAAAATGGGTTAACCCTAGCTGGACCAGGCACCCAGACCACTTCATTAAGCTGAAGTGGTCTGGGTGCCTAGAGTGGTCCTTTATTTATGATTCCTACCCAATATCAGAAAGGTGTACCTATTAAGGGATCACTGATTGTACCTAAACATTTAAGAACATTTGAACATACTAGTGAGATCAGGTTTGAAAGCATTAGAGCAACATAAACATCCACTGGTTTATCTATCTCTTCAACTGGTCTCAGATCCTTTCTGTAGCCTTTTTTAACGAATAGATAATTCAGCAATTCCTCTTCTTCACTTTCAGAAAATGCACCTGGGCAAATGAAACACAAACAAAAATGTGAGTAGAGAATGTCATGTCAATCCATATTGAGCATCTATGTACAACTTGACTAAACACATTCTTTTTAGACTCTTTCATAATTAGAATATACAACATATATGCACAGGTTATTCACTATTTATTATGTATTAGTTATTCACTAAAGTGAGAATTTGTGGATTTTCAAATTTAAAATCATAATAGTTAATATGGAATGGAAGCCAGCTATGCTCATCATAATAACTAGATTTAAAAAAAAAAGGGGAATATTAGACTAGGAGCAGATGCTAAAAAAATCGCAAACAATTCTCAATAGCAGTAAATATTTATAGTGCACCAACACAAAATAATAACTAATAATATTGTTATTTTGTTCGATAAGCATTCCACTTCTGAGACAGTAAAGGTTGAATCACGATACGCATAAAGTGAAGTATCAATCCAGGACCAAGACTAGGATTGTCAGTGAGGAATGCAGAACGGCCAGTAGCCAAAACCACCAACATTGCCCTCACTCAAACAGACTTGCTTTGAGTGGCATCTAATAGGGTCTGTGTCCCCTGCAAAGGAATGACATTCTCCTGGTCCTGTAAGTGTTTTAATCTTAATTATAATAAATGTGATAGTATGTAGAGAGCACCACGTATCTGCGTTTCTATTTTTAGATAAGCTCAGCTGCAGATACCTATTCATACTTCTTTCACCTGCCGATTTTAGTGGTCTTTAGTGAATTAATACTCTTTTCAGCATTATCCGGGATTCAATATTGAATGTTAGTTACTTAGTTATGGTAGCATTGAGGCCATATTGCTACAAAGTTTTCTTGACTCTCTATTACAAAGGTTACTGAACATTCTAAATTCCCAGATATTCCTTGCTTGTATCGTTTCAAATCGCTGGATATATTTATACAATGCAAATAGGTATTCTTGTTCATCAGCAGTACAGTTTGGAGCACTGAGAGTAATCATAATGGTGTACGGATTAATTGAATTAATTAATTAAAGAAACCATGCAGACATTAGACGTCCTCCTTCAGCCTCAAGCTACATATTATGAAAATATTTATTTATTTATTTATTGCAGTGATCCTGTGTGTTCTGGCTGTAGTCACAGCTGTCTGAACTGTAAGCTGAAGCCTGTGTGCCCACACTCCTTTGTGCTATTTAAGAATGCAGGACAGTCTAATGGAACAAATGTTAGGTAGAGATTATGCCAGTCAGTGATTACAAATAAAGGAAATACAGTGCTAGTTTAGGGAAACTTTGGGGAGATTTATAAAAGTGAAGAACAGGTAGTAGGAGGGGGTGCGGGAAAGAAGGTGGGGGAGGGGGGAAGGGACACCAAGTATAAATGTTAATGTCCCCAATGTCAGGCAGTTACATTGGTGCTATTTTTTATTAAAGAATCACTATAGTGTCAGGAAAACAAACTTGTTTTCCTGACACTATAGCATCCTTAGGACCCACTACCCTCAGGGTCCCCCTCACTTGGCGCTGAAGGGTTAAAACCCCTTCAGCAGTTTACCTTAATCCAGCGCCGGATTAATCCAGCGAAAGGTCACCTCGGCGCTGGTGACCTTTCCTCCCCCGCCAACGTCAGCTTCCGAGTGGAGCGGAATGCGCATGCACGGCAAGCCCAACCGCGCATTCATACAGTCCATAGGAAAGCATTTCTCAATGCTTTCCAATGGGTGTTCTGCACACTGGATGGGAATTTCACATCCAGCGTCGCAGAAGCGCCTCTGGCGGCTGTCAGGAAGAAAGCTACTAGAGGTTGGATTAACCTTGCAATGTAAACATAGCAGTTTCTCTGAAACTGCTATGTTTACATCTGAAGGGTTAAAACCTGGGGGACCTGGCACCCAGACCACTTAATTGAGCTAAAGTGGTCTGGGTGACTATAGTGTCCTTTTAAGTAACTTATTCTAAACAAATTATGTAGCAACAGGATTTTCCCAAGCTGAGTAGAAAACCTTCTAGATAAATGAAGAAATGGATCATGGCACTCAACACACTATGTGAAAATGTATTAGGCAGTATGCCACTTTATTGAACATTAACATATATTTAGAATCATGATTTATTTTATTGTCTTGTGTTTTTTGGATGTAATCAAGTCTAAATCCATGATTATGCAAAAACTGAAAAACATACATAATGTGCAAAAAGCCTTGAAATCAAGATTTTAGATTTTGAAAAGTATTATTCTTCTATAGAGTGGCTTGCTGCCTATTCAACTTTAGTGCCTGGATCCATTTGTGCATTCAGAAAGTATTCAGACCCTTTATTTTTTTTTTTAACAGGGTTATTCTCTAATATCTAAACAGCCTTGCACCAAATGGGTCAAAATCATTGAGACACAGGGTCATTCTAAAAATAAAATCTAGACATTGTTGATTAAGTTTCCCATGCTTTGTAATAGTGTGGGAAAGCCTATATAAGAGCTATCAGAGATCATTATGTGGTGAGCCCACCATGGGTGAAGGTGGATTCATTTTTATTGTGGCATGGTTACAATTTTTACAACTATTTTTTTTTTTAATGATTGGCCTTTTTTTATTTTACGTAGTAGAGTTGGTTATTATGGATTTTAATTTGACCTCTTTTGGGGCTAAAGAGCAGAATAATTAGAAGAAAGAATACTTCTGATGGGTATTTTAGGAGGGTGACTTGGGGACCCCTAGTCACCGAAGGGGGGGATATGTTTATTATTTGGGGTGGGGGTTGGACATTGGCATGTCCACCACCTATTTTATAATTAATTATTGCTCCTACTTGCCATCCATGGATGGCAGCTGGGGTGGTCACTAGTTCACACATGTATAACTTATATTGTGGTCCCACCCAACACCTATGGGTGGGGCCAGGGGAGGACACTTGGTCCCCTATTTGTTATTAGTATTAGGGCCCTAAGCTGTTGCCCATGGGTGACACTAGATCCTCCCCATGAATATTTAAGGCAGCCCCCACCCAATGCCCACACGTGGGGTGTGGGGGGACCATAGATTACATCTATCTATCTATATATATATATTTTTCCAAGCATGGTAACATTCACTATACACATACAAACAGAGAAGGGGGGAGGACTACTAAACGGCTTAGGGACATGTGGATTCTTAATCGTTCTTGAGTTATAATTGATGCACATAACATTTCAATAGAACCTTACCTTGAATACAGATAGCAGAGAGCAATGTGAAGCAGATCCATATCTGCTCCATTCTTCCACTTCCACTGTCTGTGTATAAGTTCTTCCTACTGCTGCCCTCCTCCCTGTCTGTTCTCTCTTATGAAGGAAAAGACCAGGCAATAGAAATGTGACCCTGCCTCTTGGACAGACAGAAGCAGGTGCTGAATCTTTGGAAATACATTACATGCCGACCCAGGAATACACACAGAAAATAAAACAACCACAATGAAATGACAGTCAGGAGACAGTCAGCCTTTAGCACCTAGATCCTCCTCACTAATGATTCAATTGAATGTCTTGTATCGCTATTTTGTTACTCTGCAAGATACAAAGTTGCTCCCTGAGCTACCACTGTGATTATCTGCATACCAGACCCTCTGCTTGTCCATATTGACTCTTATGTCTTCCATTGCCTCAGACTGTTATGGAGAGGTGCCAAACTGAAAACATAACTGAATTAAATACATTTTCCAGTTCCATTTACTTTGAATTCTCACTTTAGTTAATAACCATGTACATCACTTTTGCCTCTATCAAGTTGATATTTTTGTGCTGTGCATGTTCCTAAATTCCTCCTAGCACAGCTCTAAATTTAACTTGGATATCCTACTTTTTCTCACACCTATCTTTTATGGTAAAATACACTCAAACTGGACACTATTAAGAACACTAACTCCCCCTACTGGACTCCAACTCCCAAAGCAGCTAATTATGGATTTATATTAATTTCTGCAGGCTTTTTTCCTCTTTGGACTCAGTATGAACACATTTTCTTCTTTGTTTTCTTTTATCTGTAGCTGAGTTTCCCTTTTTAATTTGTAACCGTTATATACTCATACCCCATACACATTGCTGCAAAGTCCTACACATTGTTGTGGAACTCTGTGATACACTTTTACTGAATGTACATATAATGTACAACTGTATAATGCACTCCTAAACCAGGGGTCGGAAACCTTTGCCACTCCAGATGCTGTGAACTTCTCCTCCCCTAATGTTTTTCCTACATTCTGGTTGTACGTTCATGTGGGCAGTAGTCTCTCTTCAAAACTTGTAAGGAATGTCTTGTGAATTATTCTAATGTGATACTAATTTATATAAATACCTTATCTAAGTCCCAATCTTAGAAAGTGAAAACTTTGAAGTTTTTGAGCAAAAAAAAATCTAAAAAGTGCCAATCTTACAAGGTGCAATTCCAGTACTCAAAAAAACTAAAACAATTTTTTTGTTTTGTTTTTTATCAAACACAAAAAATAAAAAAAACTTTGTATACATTACTTTGAAAATGATTTAAATTACTACAAAACCAAGTGCATTCAAAAAATGTTTATTAATTATGCATTATTCTGCTGTGCAACCATGGCACAGTTCCACCTACACATTTTTAGTAAGATTAAATCTGCAAATTGTGTTCTGTATAATTGCTATTTTGTGTGAACGATGGCATTGGGATATAAATGATAACTTTGGAATAATATAATATCACAATTAAATAAAATATGACTTTGGAATCAATAATAAAATAAGTCTTTATTCGAACAAAAAAAACATACAAAAGCACCGTAATCTCTACTTTAAAATAAATATTTGACAAAAAAAGTGAAAAAACACTAGGTCTTGGAAGTGCATACATGAATTTTTGTAAATCAACAAAACACTGCATTATGAGCTGAAATGGCAGGTAGCAATTAATTAATTAATGGAAAATGTGAACATCGATTGACTTAGTAAATAAACTAAAGCTGATTTGCCATGAATCAAAAGACAGCTTTTTTACATTTTGCTTTGAAAAAGATGTTTACGAAGGATTACCTATGCTAAACAGATCACATGGGGCCATAGGAAGCTTACCAGTTCCCACCCCCTATTTATTCTTCATGTAGGGATGGTTAATAAGGCCATGCAAAATCATGATTCTAGGATTCCTGTGTAATCCCTAGACAGCTGCCTAGAGCCACCTTATTGTTAATCAAGCTTTGGTGTTAATTAAATAATATTTTAAACACATGGGCTTTTATTGGTACTTGTATGTTAAGACACAGGTATTCCAAGTAATTTTCTGTCCTTACCAGTTGGTAGGCTATTAGTTATTACTGACATTACACGTGTGCAATGTGCTACATAAAGCACATACAGTTTCACCAGTTATCCTTTAACCTGTAATACAGTATATGATAGGTCCCATTCTTCATCTTAATTATACTTTAAGTATTTCATACTGATGCTAAAATACAATATTTTTAAAAGAATACAGATACATTATATATGCTAGTACTTTTCTGAGACCAGCATCAAGCAGTCCTCTCCATCCTAATGCTCCCCCCCCCCCCACCAACTCTTCCTTGGTATTACACATACATATAAGCAACCACCAATAAAATCCCACTATCCATGTCATCTCTGCCAGCCCAGCCTCTTTTTATCAGCATTTCTCATTTCCATGTTCTTTCTTCATAAGTGAAAAAATGCTGGTAGTTTACTTTGCAACATTGTGACCTCGGTACCCAGTATTCACATAGAATTCTTACAATCACATGTAAAAGCAATTACAGTAGCATGTATGTTTGTATATCTAAAACACACTTACATGCTTGTGTTATATAATTTAAACCCAGTTTTGTTGCTGTAAACACTAAGATTAAATGTGAAAGATGCTATATGTTTTAGCATTTTTGTATACCATGCAATGGAAGTATAAACTCAAATTTTTTGTTATGTAACTGGCTACATATTTGAAAATTATGTGAATGTGGAAGCTAATGAGTTGTGATGTCCCAGACATCCAATATTCAGAACAACCCACATGTCCATCCAAATAAGCCTGTTTAGTCCAGGTTCCCCACATTAAGGTTGTAAATCCTTTAATCCAATCAGAGCAGGCATTACACAATATGGGATTCAGAGAACATTTTAAACCACTCACCATACACCACTCGCTTTCATTAAAAACACATTGAGATTTTGTCTTGAATTCAGGTTTTGTAATAGCTTTGTATCAGTTGTCTAGTCCACTGATTTAAAAACATTTACATTCTAGAGACTACGTGTGAAAAAAAGTAAAAAATGTATAACTTGTAAACTGTGCAATCTGTTTTACAAACATATGTATGCAGGTCTCCTTTGATCTTGTTTCCCAGAGAACAATTTGTATACATATATTTTAATTGAGGAGTCGGACCTGATCTATACGTTGCTTTATGCTGCTATAGCAAAGGTCATGCAACACTTAAAAACTGGTGTAACAAAGGCCATCTTCCCACTGATATTCTCCAATGAACAAACCATTAAAAAAGGCGCTGAGGGGATTCGTCCAAACGTGTACTCCACCTCGAAGATCTCTGATCCTTTTTGAAAGGAAAAACGAAAGACTGATTACGTTTTCAAAGCATCCAATGACAGGGCAATAATCCCTGGCATGCTGCGAAAGAAAGAATTGCTTTCCATCCCCACCAGGCTGATAAAGGTTGTAGACTTCCCAGCTACACAAACTCGAATCCGGGCTTTGTAAAGTCCTTTTAAATTCTTAGAGCCTAGATCCACCAGAATCTGTACAGTAGAAGAAATTAAGGTTGCAACATGAATGAACCTTACAACCGCTTACCATATGAACAAGACCCACACACAATGAGCCTTTGCTTTATACAATCAACCATATGTATCATGTCCCATAAAACTCACCTCCTGAAAATCCATGTACAGATCTTTCTCTGGCACCTGAAGAATCCAGCTGTATCTTTCTGTAATGGACTGAACTTCTCTGATGGCTTCTTCTAGACGCTCACACCCTAAGCAATGCATACAGAAATCACAAACTAAGAATGAGACTATAAAATGCTATCTTTTCGTTTACATGCTACAATGGTAAAAACATAATCAATTTATTCAGATAAAATTAAACACATATGGATTTTACCTCAAAATGTACATGGCCTAAGGTACACTATCTAACATATTTATGAATATTAAAAACACCAGACACTAAGTACTATTATGAACTGTCATATGTATTTTATATAGTTGTTTTAAGATATATGTGAACACAATATATTTGTTGAGTTTTATCAATTATTATTATTATGTTATTATTTATATAGCGCCAACAAATTCTGTAGCGCTTTACAGTGGGTGGAGGAACAGACATGTAGTTGTAACCAGACAAGTTGGACACACAGGAACAGAGGGGTTGAGGGCCCTGCTCAATGAGCTTACCTGCTAGAGAGAGTGGGTTAAAGTGACACAAAAGGTAAGGATAGTATTAGACTAATGACAGTTGCAAGAGAGGAATCAGTCGGGAGCTATTAACAGTTTAATTCATTCACTTTTATGAAGAAGTGGGTTTTTAATGATTTTTTGAAGGAGTGGAGACTGGGTGAGCATCTGCTGGAGGAGGGAAGTGAGTTCCACAGGAACGGTGCAGCCCTGGAAGAGACCAGAAGGCGAGCATCAGAGGTGGGAGTATGGACGTGAGTCTTCAGCAGAGCGTAAGGGCCTAGACGGGACATACTTGTGTATTAGTGAGGATAGATAGGTGGGTACAGGAAGCCAATGTAGGGACTGACAGAAAGGTGAGGCGTGGGAGGTGCGGGCGGACAGGAAGATGAGCCTCGCTGCCGCATTCATTATGGACTGTACCGGCGCATGTTGGGAGCATGTAAGACCACTGAGAATCAGATTACAGTAGTGAAGGTGAGAAAGGACAATGGAATGGACCAGCACCTTAGTCGCATCTGGCGTTAAGTAGTGTCGGATGCACGCAATGTTTTGGCGATAAACTGAACATGAGGTGTGAAGGAGAGGTCCAAGTCAAAGAGAACACCTAGGCAGTGAGCCTGCATGGTGGAGCTGATGGTAGCACCGTTGACTTGGAGGGAAACAGGCATAGGAGTAGGAGCACTTGGAGGGTGACAGGCATAGGAGTAGCAGCACTTGAGGGAGAAAAGACTAGAATTTCAGTTTTGGTCAAGTTGAGTTTAAAGGAAGTGGGCAGCCATCCAGTTAGAAATAGCAGAGAGGCAGTCAGAGACACTAGTCAAGAGGGACAGGGAAAGATCAGGAGAGGACAGGTAGATTTGCGTGTCATCCGCATAGAAATTATATTGGAAGCCAAAGGAGCTAATGAGTTTACCAAGGGAGGTAGTATAGATAGAGAACAGTAGGGGACCAAGGACAGAGCCTTGGGGGACACCAACAGAGAGGAGTTGGGGAGAAGTAGCAGAGCCAGAGAAAGAAACACTTAAAGAGCGCTGGGAGAGGTAGGAGGAGCACCAAGAAAGAGCAATATCTTGTAGACCGATATTGCAGAGGATGAGAAAAAGCTGTTGATGATCAACAGTGTCAAAAGCTGCAGACAGGTCAAAGAGAATTAGGATAGAGTAGTGACCATGAGATTTTGCAGCGAGTATATCATTGGATACTTTGGTCAGTGCTGTTTCCACAGAGTGCTTAGCGTGGAAACCAGACTGAAGCGGATCTAGCAGAGAGTTAGACTCGAGGAAGTCTGTCAATCTTGCATACACAACTCTTTCAAGGATCTTGGATGCAAAAGGCAGTAGCGAGTTAGGATGGTAGTTGGATGGGGAGTTAGGGTCAAGGTTGGGCTTCTTTAGAATTGGGGTTATAGTTGCATGTTTGAAGGGCGATGGAAATATGCCAGAGGAGAAAGATTGAGAATTTTAGTGAGAGGTGGAGAAAGAGAAGAAGACAGTATGGATGAGATGCGAGGGAATTGGATCTATGGAGCAGGTGGTGGGGTGAGAGGACTGGAGCAGTGACTAAATCTCTTCCACTGTAGCAGGTGCGAATGAACATAGAACAGCAGAGGGAGTGAGGTTAAGTATTGTAAGGGGAAGAAGAAAGATGAGAGATCTCTTCCCTGATTGTAGAGATCTTGTCAGTGAAGTGAGTTGCAAAGTCTGAGGCGGTCAAGTTAGTAGGTGGAGGAGGAACAATAGGGCGAAGAAGAGAGTTAAATGTGTGGAATAGTCGTTTGGGTTTGAGGGAGAGTGTGGTTATGAAGGTATTGAAGTAATTTATTTTGCACAGGAGAGAGCCAAGCTGTGTGAGCGCAGCATATATCAATCAATATATTAATCAATATATCAATATTTATCAATCAATTTGACCTTATTAGTTAGTGCGTCACATGGTAGGAATTGTAAAAGGGGCCTAAGACACTAGCATACAAGGGTTGTGGGCTGCAGGCTTACTGTTCCTCTTCTGATTAAAAGGAACTAGTGGTGTGTTTTGAATGTCAGTCTACAGACTACTATAGGCAGGGAGGAACTATGCAAGCTTATCAATGTGAGAATTTGTGCTTTGGCTTGTCACCTACAATCTCAGTACTCTCCAGGATTGTGTTGTGTTGAAACATGAAATCTGTGAGTTGCTCATGCTAAAAAGCAATTAATTTGTACTCGCCTGCCAGGCCAAAAGTTACCAGCCCTCTCCTGGTTAGTCCATTGTTTGCAGGTTTTCTGTCCCAACCTGTGTTCTGGACATTTTTGTGTTCTGCCAATGTCAATTCTGTGCATAAAATAAGACTGCCATTAGCGCGCACTGCACACTGCTGACAGATGTGAAAATATTCCCCTTGCAGGCAATATACCTGTTAAGGGGAAGCTAGGTCTCCCATCCCATACACTCTGCATTCTCACCAACCTCTCTCCATTGTACATTGTTTTGTTTTTTGTTGTAAATCCCTCTCCTTTTTACACCCTCCTCTTCCCTTCTCTCCCTCGCACAGATTGAGGGAATGCACACCAAGTCTGTGATTGGACCATATGCAGCCCCCATGACGTCATAGG